GGGCCTCACATGCTACATGGACTAGCTGTGTGTGCCTGCCCTATTTGCACAAGTAAGAGCAAATAGAGTTTTATCTGACTCCTTTAGAATTCAGAACCTGACATGTCAGGGATACCCATCGATGTCCTGGGCAACTAAAAATTTGTTTTGGATGGGAGAGATTCAAAGTTATCAAGCAAAATGTACTGCCCTACATACTGTATCTTCAACAAACGATCCTGATATACATCTCCTATCCTATTTTAAAAGTCTGCAATATATCTTTAATATGTTTGCATGATCCTTAAAACCTGCTCACATTAAACATGATGTACTGTATTACATAAAACAAAATAAAACAGGCGTGGGATTTTTTCAACTCAGGTATAAACACTCGATCCTGGTTAGTCAGCGCTGCCAGGATTCAAGAGATAGTATGTAGCTACATAAAACCAGACAGATTCAAGTACCTCAAATCAGTTGATCTGCTCTTGTATTTTGTGATTGAGTTATAGTACACAAATTGACGTATGTAATGTAGGTTATGTCAAGATATGAAATAGACCAATCAGAGATTAATTTGATTACAGCAAGCATTGAGTTAATTGCCCTATGATCATGAATCATCAAGAGGTCATCATAAAGGATGTTTATTTCTTGTGGCTTTATGTGTCATTCAAAAAATAGCCATCTCTATGGGTTTCCAGGAACTTGCTTCGCCACAGGTTCTAATTCCTTTTAAATCAGAAGTTCTTCTTTCTTATAAATCAGAAGTTTCAGGTAGTCATCAAAGTTATTTTTGCAATATGCCAGTATACATATAAAGGAAAGAAATAAGCACAGATTAGGGTTCTTATAATAAAGCCATTTTGTCCTAAAAAGCCATCTTGCCACCTCAAAATGATGGGATGTCAATCTTGCATGTTAAACAATCTATAAGCTTTAGAATCAACATTAAAGTATAGGTCCAGTCAAAACCTAACTAAGCTTAAAACTACTCCCACCCACATTCTAAGGCCTATACTAACTACCCTGTTAAGGAAAAAAGCCTATACTTACCTGATCTAAGGGATCTCCAGTCCAGTCACGTTATTAGTTCCCAGCACTGGCTTCAGGGGAGAGAAGGGAGAGCAGACAATGGATGCCCCATTGGAAGTCTATGGATGATGTCACCTTCCACGTTCTGCAGCCATTGTCACTGCTCTGTCCTCTCCCCTGAAGCTGCCCACTAGGGAGATCACATGAGCACCCTTAGATTAGGTAAGCATAAGCATTTTTTAAAGGATAGTTAGTATAAGGCTTAGAATAGGGTTTTTACCAGACTTCCACTTTAAATCTAGTTCCTGTCTCTAGCACACATCTGTTTCCACACAAATGATTATTTGACAAAAAAGTACTGTACATTATTGGGAAAAAAATCTTCGAAAGGATGACCTTTCTTATCACAGGTTCATATCAAGATTGCAAATGGAGCATCCCTCCAGAGCTGAGAAGTCAGTGCTTTTGAATGATCTTCATGTAGACTGTAATCGTCTACATGGAAGAGTGCATGAACACAAATTGTTGTCTCAATAACTCCTGTAAATTGGCAGACTGAATATATTTTTTTTATATAATGTTGGAATAACATTCATCACTCTCATCTAGCATGATGTATCCACAATACAAATATCATACAGAGATGGATAGTATGTTATGGTATGATGTTCATCACAAGTCATTGAATTTTAGTCCCATCAGAATAAATCTATAAAAAATATATTGATTCATACAGTGGAATAAGCTACTGTAAACTCATATAAAGTCCATAACACCTCTCTAGAGCCCAATGCTTGGTTTTTTATTGTATTTCACAGATCTTATATTATTCAGTTCTATGGTAATATATACATATTGCAGTCTGAGTTTTGCTCCACAGCTTGAACAGAACTTATGGGTTTCCAAAGGGGGTACACATTATGAGAAATGTATAAAGCACATTCTGGCTGCATGTATCACATGAATATCTGAAATATATTGTCTTAGCTTAAATTGCTACATGATGTTGATGCATGGTGTTTGAGCATAAAATTGAGATCCCGATCTTTGGACCTGGGAGCAGCAATGCAACCTGCGCCACCGGTGATAAGTATCATCCAACTCATTCTTATCTATTTGCTGCTATAGTGAAGCCCTTCTTGGAAGTACCCTTTGGGGTGTCCTTGGTGATTATTTTGGGGGATGTTTGCTTTTGTCTTCTGTGTTCCTTTTTTCTTTTTATATTCTGAAGTAAATGTCATTCTAGATCTGATGGCTGTGGTTACCTATGAGAATCCATTTTGAGAGAAAGTACAGTATTATAATATGGGACATGCCCTTTCTCTTTCCATCTATGGATATTTTGTTTGTTCTGGCTACCATGTTAGTAACATATAGCCTATTACATTGAGGTAGGTCATATTATGTAGTATATGTATATACACTATATTGCAAAAGTATTGGAACACCCCTCCAAATCGTTGGATTCAGGTGTACCAATCACCTCCATGGCCACAGGTGTATAAAATCAAGCACCTAGGCATGAAGACTGCTTCTACAAACATTTGTGAAATAATGGGTCACTCTCAGGAGCTCAGTGCATTCAAGCATGGTATCGTGATAGGTTGCCATCTGTGCAACAAGTCCATCTGTGAAATTTATTTGCTACTAAATATTCCACTGTCAACTGGTAGTGGTATTATAACAAAGTGGAAGCAACTGGGAAAAACAGTGGGGTCAGTGCATGCTGAAGCGCACAGTTCGCAGAAGTCACCAACTGTCTGCAGAGTCAATAGCTAAAGACCTCCAAACTTCATGTGGCCTTTAGATTAGCACAACAACCATGGCCAAGCAGCTACACCCAAGCCCTACATCACCAAGTGCAATGCAAAGCATCAGATGCAGTGGCGTAAAGCACACCACCACTGGACTCTAGAGCAGTGGAGACATGTTCCCTGGAGTAATGAATCACACTTCTCTATCTAGCAATCTAATGGATGTGTCTGGGTTTAGCGGTTACCAGGAGTACTTGCCTGACTGCATTGCATCAAATGTAACATTTTCTGGATGGGGGGGTTATGGTGTGGGGTTGTGTGTCAGAGGTTGTGTTTTGCTCCTTAGTTCCAGTGAAGGGAACTCTTAAGGCATCAGCATACCAAGCCTTTTTCAACAATGTCATGCTCCCAACTTTGTGGGAATAGTTTGGAGATGGCCCCTTCCTGTTCCGACATCACTGCATATCAGTGCACAAAGCAATGTCCATAAAGACATGGATGAGTGAGTTTGGGTTGGAGGAACTTGACTGGCCTGCACCTCAACCCGATAGAACACTTTTGGGATAAATTAGAGTGGAGATTTCAAGCCAGACTTTCTCGTTCAACATCAGTGCCTGGCCTCACAAATGCTCTCTGGAAGAATGGTTAAACTTTCCCATAGACACACTCCTAAACCTTGTGGACAGCCTTCCCAGTAGAGTTGAAGCTGTTATAGGGGTGGGCCAACTCAATATTGAACTCTACAGACTAAGACTGGGATGTGATTATAGTGCATGTGCGTGTAAAGGCAGGCGTCCCAATACTTTTGGCAATATAGTGTGCATGTAGTCCGGTTTGGGGCTTTGGGTTTACAATTATTGTGGTTCCTTTATAGTGCCATCTTGCTACCTGAGGCTCTATTGGGGTTTTTTATGCCTCCCCACATCAGCACATGGGGGGATGCCTGCTTCTGGCTGAATTGGTGGTCCATCGGGTTTCTCCTTGCTTACCTATCTGTACTGGTCCTCATCACATGGAGGGTTTTGGAAGTAATGTACAATATGTACCAGGTTCTACTATAACATTTAGTACACATGTGCACTGCATATGTCAAATTGTTCTATATATTTTTATATGTATGTATATGTCACGGACTGCCAGTGCCTCTCCCATCCCCCGCCATATTCCTCCACCCCTCCCTTCCCCCTTATACATTAGAAGGTCTGTGGGGCTTGTTGCCGAGGCAACCTAGCCGCGTCCCACATGATCTTCAAGAGACCCACACAGGAAGCAGCCTTCCCTTTTGTTCCTGGCCATGTGAGTAGAATCTTCCTGCTCCCAGAAAGATGCTGGGAGGCTCGGGTGGGGGACCGAGTCTCCCCAGCCATCCCCCCTGCGCGCTCTGCAGACCCCCAAAAGGTCAGGACTGTAGCCCTCTGCAATACCTCGGGGTTGGGAGTCTCCACAGCTCTGCATGAGCCTTCTCCTCAAAGGTCAGACCCCACAACTGAGACCCTGCCAGTCTGTAAGCCTGTCTACTGAGCACCCTTGCACCCTGTCTGCTGCTGAGTGCCCTGGGAGTTGTTTGCTGAGGGGGCCTGCATACTATCCGTGGCTGCGTGTCCCTGGAGGCTGTCTTCTGCTGAGTGCCCTGGGAGCTGCTACTGTCTGCTGATCGCTGGTTGTCCCTGGAACGCTGACCGCTGGTCATCCCTGTCTGGAGCCGCCTGCCGTGAGGGTCTGCAAGCTGCTTACCGTGAGTGCCCTGAACTGTTCCTGTTGTGCGCACTGACCACCTGTGTCCTGAACTGTTCCTGTTGTGCGCACTGACCACCCGTGTCCTGAATTGTCCCCCGCTGTGTGCACTGACCACCCGTGTCCTGATGGCATGCCCAGAGTATAGTTACCTGTGGTGCCCCTGAGTGCTTGAGCCATCGCTACCTGTTGAGTCCCCGTGAACCCAATGACCCTAGAAAGCTGGGTGGGAGCTGTGCTGTGGCCAGCCTCCACAGCTAGAGTCCCGTTGAGTCCCCGAGGCCCCTGCCCAGTGGTAGGTTGCTGTCTGTTGCCCGAGGCCCCTGCCCAGTGGTAGGTTGCTGTCTGTTGCCCGAGCCCCTGTTGAGGGGTAGATTGCCGTCTGTTGCCCGAGCCCCTGTCCAGTGGTAGGTTGCTGTCTGTTGCCCGAGGCCCCTGCCCAGTGGTAGGTTGCTGTCTGTTGCCCGAGCCCCTGTTGAGGGGTAGATTGCCGTCTGTTGCCCGAGCCCCTGCCCAGTGGTAGGTTGCTGGCTGTTGCCCGGGGCCCCTGCCCAGTGGTAGGTTGCTGTCTGTTGCCCGAGGCCCCTGCCCAGTGGTAGGTTGCTGTCTGTTGCCCGAGCCCCTGCCCAGGGGTAGATTGCCGCCTGTTGCCCGAGGCCCCTGCCCAGTGGTAGGTTGCCGTCTGTTGCCCGAGGCCCCTGCCCAGTGGTAGGTTGCTGTCTGTTGCCCGAGGCCCCTGCCCAGTGGTAGGTTGCCGTCTGTTGCCCAAGCCCCTGTTGAGGGGTAGATTGCTGTCTGTTGCCCGAGGCCCCTGCCCAGTGGTAGGTTGCCGTCTGTTGCCCGAGCCCCTGTTGAGGGGTAGATTGCCTTCTGTTGCCCGAGGCCCCTGCCCAGTGGTAGGTTGCCGTCTGTTGCCCGAGCCCCTGCCCAGGGGTAGATTGTCGCCTGTTGCCCGAGTCTCCAATCCGCTGTCCAGTCACGGAGGGAGCCCGGCTGAGGCCCCAAGCCTAAAGGGGGGAGATTGCCTGAAGACCCCCCCTGTGCCTGGAATTGTCCCTGGTTTGCGCACACATCACCCTGCCTGCCATTTCCCTATTGAGTGTCTGTCAATTTGTTGTTTCAATAAAGTTTTGTGTGCTCCCCATCTTCTCCGTGTGCTCTGTCCTGCCTACGCTTCCGTTACAGTATACATGTCTTTTTTCCTTATGCTTTAGCAGTGGCTATTGTCCTCCTGAGAAAGCAGGCAGAGATTCCTGTGATGTTGAGAAATTGGAGCCATTTTGAGATGAATATTATACTATGTCAAGAGCGTTTGTTCCTACATCTCTTTATATTTATGTACTGTATGAATGTATTGAGTCATATAACTCTGTGGGTTTTGTCATGCTGTAACAAAAATATTCCCTCGTTTTTGGGAAATATTTTAGTCTTACTGTCTAGTTTTTATTCTTTACACTAATAAAGTAGGGAGTTATTTTCCTTTGGTAGACAAAATAAAGAGTTTAATTGATCCAAATTATGTGGAAGTTGATGCCCTATTAAAGCCCAATTCCAGACAAAACATTTGATCTTGTTTTGAATAGAGAGAGAGCCTCTGGATGAGTGAGGACCTCTGTCAGGCTTTTATAGCTGTCTGTATCCCTGCTAGGGAGATTTGCTGTAACTTCCTTTCAGGAGCTTTTTTTACTTTATAGAAATGATTACTATAAGCCCTAACCGGTACAAATGTTAGTTGGTAAATTCACAGATTTAGGCGAAATTGTCTCTATGCTCCCTTGATGTTCCTTTCCAGTATGGCACACAAATTAATGTATAACATTTCAAGTTTTATTGTGTTTTTCATTGTGTGTTGACAAGTTCAGGTCCATCAACACCTGCTGCACTTGTGTGTTGGGGTGCCATGCATAGCTATGAATCTAGAAAGAATGTGCAAGATTCAAGTCACTATTTTATGTCATTTTTGACAAACAAATGTATACCCAGTTGTTCTGATTTAGTCACTGTGCAGTGTATCACTTGGCATAGAGTTAGCCCAGTTCACACTTGAGCGTTTTTCTGCACCTTTCCCATTGCCTGATTACACTTAACATTCAGAATCCCATTCCTTCTAATTGTTCACACTATTATGCTTAGTCACCCTATGTTCTATGGACTACGTTTAAATAGTACAAAATAGCGTGGCCGGCTCCGGAGATGGACGCTCAGTGAGGAGAGCTCCGTCCTCCCGCCAGCCTGACAGCTGCACACTCAGACCCCAGAGAATCAAACCCCCGCTGACTGCTCACTTACCCCTCGCCATCTGAACGGGCGATGACCCGCCGCCGCAAGACCCCAGGGAATCCAAGGAAAATTACTAACTTCTTCCCTGCAATCTCCTCAGGCTCCCAAGATGGCGCTGACTGCACAGTAAACGGTCTCACAGCACAGCAGGAGGAGAACACAGGACCTCAGACAGAACATCACCCAGATGCCAGGATGAGGAGATCCTTATACCGAGGGGACCCGGGGTGAGTTGTCTCCCCCCCTGTCCCCCACATCTAGTAGCCCTGTTAAATCCAGGCCCAGACTGGACACAGGATCACCCCCTGACAGACAGTCATCCCCACCAGCCGCAATTCTGACAGAAAGCACTCCATCTTAATTGAATCCTACCCTGCCTCTGACCAGCCTATCACAGAGATTGCCATGAAAAACATGCTCCTATCTCTGCGCCAAACAATACATAACGTATTATGACATCATTATCGCAAATCTCAAATACGGTTCAAATGCATGAGAAGCGCATCCGCCATATTGAGAACAAACTAGGAGAAATGTGTACCACACACAATGACCTCATAGATGCCCACACAGATCATACAGATGACATCGAACAAATCAATCTCAAATTGGCAGATTTAGAAGATCGTTCCAGGCGAAACAACATCAAATTCCGTGGCATACCAGAATCCGTCACCTCAGAAGACATTGTCCCATATATTCAACAGTATATAAAAAATGTAATCCCTGCCCTCACAGACGTGGAGCTAGCAATAGATCAAGCACATCGTATCCCCAAACCGTCATTTCTACCAGCGTCGGTACCCAGAGATACACTGGCGCATATACATTTTTATCATGTAAAAAAAAAAATTATGCTCGCAGCAAGAAATTCCACCTCAACTCCCTCAGACCAAGCAAACATTAAATTATCCGCAGACCTATCCAAAGCCACACTCGCCAACCGTAAAAAGCTTGTCACCGTAACTAAAGCTTTACGAAACCATGGGATTGGATACCAATGGGGCTTTCCCACAAAGCTAAATGTCAAACACCAAGGCAAATTTTACACAATCAAATCTCTAGAAGCAGGCATTGAGTTACTGAAAACGTGGAACATCATTCCAGTGGACTCCCACCAACCAACACCCAACAGGCCACAACGGATGGAAGCAGAATGGTCATAAACCCACACACAAATCTACTCTCTTCTAGCCCAATACCCTGGGCCTCACCAAAGCATTAGCTGGCGATCGGCCCTAGATCGAACACGTCAATCTTTCAAGTTCATCTCAAGCATGAGCTCCCGTTTGAGTCATGCTTATCCGTGCCACCTCAGTCTACAGTAGCTGTTTTGGATACACATGTTACCTGTGTTTTTTACAGGTCTTTTTTACCCCTGTTCTTTCCCCAACCTACCAGTCAACAGTCGCCAACATCACCCCTCTAAACGAACCCACTTACACAAGTGAACACTCTCACTACAACCAAGACCAACCCAAACCCAGTAAACTACATACTCAACGGTCCACCACCTCCGTCAAGAGGAACAATGCACATCTTCACAATTCCTGAACCACCACCGCAACGAGATTCTACCCATCTACTACCAACAATATGATTACTATAACCTTGCTAAACGTCCGGGGCCTCAACTCCCCTTTCAAAAGATCTTTGCTCTCAAGAGAAATCCGCTCCATACAACCTGTTATTCTATTCCTACAAGAGACCCACTTTGCATCATCCAAAATTCCTAAACTCAACATTCTCCACTTTTCCACAATGTACATGGCAACAAATCCCAAAAAGAAAAATGGCATCATTACAGCCATAAAAGACTCCCTACAATTCCAACTCATCTCTGAAATATCAGACCCACAGGGATGCTACCACATATTAATCTGCAAAATTAGCGATACTCCATACACACTGGTGAACGTCTATGGTCCCAACACCAACCAACTCCAATTCTTCAACAAACTTAATTCCATTATCGCTCAACATAGAAAAGGCAGAATACTCATCGGTGGAGATTTTAACATCATCGGCAACCCTCTTCTGGACTCCTCATCCAAAAAAAGAGCTTCAAAACAGTCCCTTAACCAATTTCTTCATTCCAATGACCTTTACGATATCTGGAGATGTCAACACAGTACAGAAAAGGACTATACTTATTACTCTCCATCCCACTTTTCCTACTCGAGAATCGACTTCTTCATCACTGACAAGTGGACCCAAAACACGTCACTTCCTCCAAGATCGGAACTATTACATGGTCAGACCATGCTCCAATCACCATCTCCCTTGATGACATACAACATTCCAAGATTCCTCAAATATGGCGTCTGAATGCGACCTTGTTGAAAAATCTTGACTACAAACAACAAATACTAGATGCCCACAAGACATTTTTTGAACGTAACGATACACCTGATATTTCCATATCAATTCTTTGGTCAACCTATAAAGCATACATGAGAGGTATTTTGATTCAATTAAATTCCCGTATTACCAAAAATAGAATCCAACAAATAGACGAACTCCTCGCATCAATTAAATCAAACGAGGAAAAAACCAAAAAAATCCCCAGACCAAGCAACCTCCGCATCCCTCACTGCAGACAGAAACAAACTAAGATCCCTCCTACTATACAAATGTGATCTAAGTCTCCAAAAAATGAAAGCCAAATTCTATTCATTAGGTAACAAAGCCAGCTCACTATTATCCAAAACAATAAAACAAAAACGTTTAAAATCCAAAATAGCTTCAATTAAACATCCGTCTGCAAATTCCCTTCACACTAACCCACAAGAGATAGCTAACACCTTTGCAGAATATTATCAAAACCTATACAACCTCAAAAATGACACAAACACCACCCAACCGACAGTCACATCCATTCAACAATTTCTCCACACAACCAACCTCCCCCGATTATCCCCGGGCCAACTTGACGCCATCTCTATCCCTATTTCCCCCAAAGAAACAGAAACAAACATCAAAACACTCCCACTCAACAAATCTCCAGGAAATGACGGATACCCTAACGAATAATACAAACATCTATCCACAGACCTATCCCCATATCTGTCCAAACTTTTTAACCACGCCGCCGCAACAAGCTCATTTCCCAAGGACATGCTACAATCCATTATAACGACCATTCCAAAACCCGGCAAACTCCCTCAACTTGTCCAAAATTGCAGACCAATCTCACACTACTCAATACTGACATAAAATTGTACGCGAATATTATATCTCGAAGACTTCTCCCATACCTCCCCACTCTTATCCACCCAGACCAAGTAGGTTTCATCCCAGGTCGCCAAGCACCCGATGCGACCAGAAGACTTATTTCCCTTATACACAACTTAGAAAACACCAAATACCTCTCCTTACTCTTATCTCTGGACACACAAAAAGCATTCGACCGGATACATTGGCAATTTATGCACCTCACTCTCCAAAAATTTGGTATCACAGGCTGGATGCTTAACGCCATCTTATCATTATACTCACAACCATCTGCTAGAGTTTTGACAGACGGCACATTGTCTGACCCCTTCGACATCTCTAACGGCACCAGACAAGGTTGTCCACTCGCCCCAATAATATTTACACTCCTTATTGAACCCCTAGCATTCAAACTCAGAGAAGACCGATCTTTCACAGGAATCACGCATCTCAACGCAGAACACAAAATTAGCCTATTTGCAGACGATATCATACTGATGGTAACCAACCCAAAAACGTCTCTTAAAACAATTCGCTCACACCTCTATGACTACTCGATAGTATCATACTATAAACTCAACGCACCCAA